GTACGCAGATCGCGCGGTGCACGCGGACATCGTGATGCACCAAGCAATACGATGAAGACAGGCTTTGTGGTGTGCACGACTGTTGACGCAAGATCATTTATCATTCACGCAGGCATCCCAGACATGGTGGTGTACAGAAGCACTGCGGTGCACGGTCATTGCGATGTACCACGCATTGTGGTGTGCACAAGCGCTGCTGTGCACACATCCGCTGCTGTGCGCACACTCGCTATGGTGTCCACAGGCGTTGTGGGCCCGAAAGACGGGACCGTTCCCTGCGCAAGAAAAACCAAGAATTATACAAAGCATGCATATTGGATTTGATACGTTCGGATCCCCCGCGATTTTCTGGAGTTCGGTCCTGCGGGGGGCCCTGGAAGCGTACGCATTTTGTATGGTGTACACAAACACTTTGGTGCACAAGGACTGTGGGGTACAAGTATGGTGCTGAAGCAGCAACCGTGTTGCACATAGGAGTCGTCGTTTACACAGGCAGCGTGTGTGGTGTGTACACAGGCGCTGCGGTGCACACGGCTATTGTAGTGTACGCAGGCACTGTGGTGTACACAGACATTGTTTTGTAGACAGGCGCTGCGGGGTACACAAGCAGCTGTGGTGTACAAAAACGTCGTGGCGCACGCTAGACAGGCGCTGTGGTGTACACAGACATGGTCGGCCAAAAACGAGGGACCGCACCCCGGGCCAGAAAATCAAGAGTTACAAATAACTTACTGAATGGGATCTGTTCGGGCCCTCGGGGATTTTCCAAATTTGGGCCCCGGCGGGACCTTGGCGGTGCACGGAAGCGCTTTGGCGCAAATGTTCGCCATGCGCTGTGGTGCACGGGGCTCCCAAGCACCGCAGTGTGAACAGGCGCTGTGGTGCACACGGCTGGTGTCGTGTACACAGGCATTGTAGTGTACACAGGCACTGTTGTCTAGACAGGCGCTGCGGTGTAGACAAGCAGCTGTATTGTACACAGGCGTCGTGGTGTACACTAGACAGGTGCCCATGTGTACACAAATATGGTCGGCCCAAAATGGACAGGGAGGGACCGTACCCCGGGCCAGAGAAATCAATAATCGAAAATGATACGTTCGGGCCCCCCAGGGATTTTCCAGATTTGGGCCCGGGCGGGACCTTGGAGATGCACGGAAGCGGGTTGGCGCAAATGTTCGCCATACGCTGCGGTTCACGTTGCCCCTGTGGTGCGCACAGGCATCGGGGTGTACACAGGCGCTGTGGTGCACGCAGAAGCCTCTGCTGCAGCAGCACCTGTGGTTTGCCAGACCGTTGTGGCGCACGCATGTTTTGTAATGTTCACAGGCAGTGTGCTTAGCAATCACATCCCGCGTATTCGAATGCGAGCTGTCCAGACATCCATAGGCATTCTCAGACGGCGCCCGCATCGTCGCAGCACCACTAGTAGCATTGTGGTGGCAGCATCGCTAGCAGTTGTAGGGGCCGCAGCACCAGTGCGCGCGGGCATATGCAGGGCTGCCCACAGCGCGAAGGTTAGGTTATCGGCCTGCCCCCTCCCCCCCCCACCCTGGGGAACCCGGGTTATCGCCGATTCAAAACAACGGTCTCATATGTATGCCCTTCGTGGCCCCCGCTCGTTCGCGCCCGTCGTGGCCCCATATGCATGCGCTTCGTGGCACCGCTGTCGCCCTTCGTGGCCCCCTCGCTGCCCTACGTGGCCCCGTTGCTACCCTCAGTGGCCTCGCTGTATCCTTGCCCTCTGCGGCCCTATATACGTATGCCCTTCGTGGCCCCCGCTCGTTCGCGCCAGCCGTGGCCCCATATGCATGCCCTTCGTGGCCCCGCTGTCGCCGTTTGTGGCCCCCTCGCTGTCCTACGTGGCCCCGTTGCTACCCTCAGGGGCCCCGCGGTGCCCCCTGTGGCCCCGCATTATCTACCGTCCGTGGCCCCCGCTCGTTCGCGTCCTTCGTGGCCCCATACGCATGCCCTTCGTGGCCCCGCTGTCGCCCTTCGTGGCGCCCTTCCTGTCCTTCGTGGCCCCGCTGTCGCTCTCGCTCTCGCTTTCGCTTTCGCTCGTCGTCGTCCTCGTCCTCGTCCTCGTCGTCGTGGTCGGTCCCCTCTCCGTCCCTCTTGGGGTCGGGTTGCCGCCGATCAGCACTGCCGCTGGCCAGGCCGACGGTCCGCGGCCGCCCCGCCGCTTGCCGGGGCCTGGCCTACAGGGAAGAAAAGGTATACCCCCAAAAAGGGTACGATCGAATACGAAGAGGACAGGTATCGAGGGTCTGGGAAATACACGTTGAAAGACATTCGAGCAGATAAGAGCGAACCGTCTTACAATGAGTGTTGTTGTTGTTGCTGCTGTTGCTGTTGTTGTTGTGGTTGTTGCTGTTGCTGCTGCTATGGTTGTTGCTGTTTCACCAACTGAGTTCTCGGCCGCTGGTTTGCAACAACGGCTCCCGCTTAATATTTGCTCACAGTGTATTCCCGAATCGCGATCTCTCGCGAGACTTCCTCACAACTTATGTGGGAATCGCGCTCTCGCATGGGATTTCTTAGCAATTTGCTCAGACGCCGCGCCCTCGACACTCAGGAATCACGCTCTCGTTGTGGATTTCTCACGGTTCACGTGAGAATCGCGCTATCGCTCCAGATTTCCTCGCGGTTCATGCAGGACGCACGCTTCAGCAACCCACCCGCTCGACCTGGCAGCCTGCCCCTGCCTTCCCGACCCGCCCGTTAGGGTCTGCCCGCCCGATCTGCCCGTCTGGTTCCGCCACGCGCTTTCTGCTTCTAGCCCCCCTCCTGTTACTCTTTCTCCCTCGTGCTCCATCCCCCTCCCGCCCCCTTGTCCATTCCTTCCGTCCGTCCTCTCTTCCTCTGCCTTAGGGGCTACACGAAACACACGTTGCAGGTAAGACAGATATACTCCCGGGGGGGTACGGTCGAAGACGAAGAGGGCGGGTACCGAGGGTTTGGGATATACGTGTTGAATGGCACGCGAGCAGATAAGAGCGAGCAATATTAGAATGACTGGTGTTGTTGTTAGTGCTGCTGTTTCTTCTCTATCCGCAGCGAGCCAGGGACATGCAACACTAGAGCGCGACAAGTGATGGGCACATAGCGAACCAATAGTTGATCCAGTAAGAAGCGCGAGCCACATATATGTCCCTGCACACCGCAGCTATTGGTGGGTTCGAGCGAGAATAGTTTCTGCCACACCAATGGAAACGCACGACCATTGGGCCCATGCTGCCTCCTTCGAACGCGCATCTGTGCTAGGCCATGTCTATCGCCTGTATGCGAGCAGCCCTGATTTCAAGGTCCCTGAATCATGCTGGGAGGGCAGGTTCGGTGTGTCCATCGTCGTCGCCGCAGATGGAAGTGGCCGCCTGCTTGTATCGAAACGGGTGGGGGATGCTTTCAAGCATTCAACAATTCCGTTGCAATTGAAGGGCCGACCTGCCAGTCAGTCCAGTTTGGGCGTGGAGCTCGTTCGGTTCCAGGATCAGTGTCGCCTGCATGGCGGCCAAGCAAGCATACCATCTAGCACACAAGAGGCCCGTAATGTAATTGAAGAGTTTCATACCGAACTCTTGGATGATGACGGAGGCGGCGATTACGAGCTCAAATTGTATCAGTCCGTGGGTGGTCATTGCTTCTGCTTCGAGGATGGCGAAGAGGAAACCACGTCCCCAAGCGACCTTGTCCTCACAACCCCGAACTGCGACGAGCTAGGTCATTTCATGTTGCGGCAGCAGGAGGCATCAGGCACACTTGCGTCTACGGAGGACATCGAGTCTGCCGTGGCCAAAGAGGTGGCAGCATGGGACGCCATCCTCGCTTCACCTACTCTAACACCAGGCCTGGTTGTACGAACTCGATGGGTTATCAAAGCGGCAAACGAGGAAGCCACGCGATTGAACAAGGGCCTGAATGGGACCGTCAAGGAGGTGGATGAGGACGGCGACGCGCTGATCGATTTCGGAGATGGCATTGGCGAGCAATGGATCTACGCCCAGGATTTCAAAAAGCTGCTTCCTGCCTCCTGAGGAGTTCCTGTTTTGGCTGATGGTAACATCTACAGATTTGCACAGACGTGAGCCCTTAGAGTGTTGAGCTGTGCATTTGCGAGCGATGCAACGGACATGGAGTTCCGCAGTCGACTATCGAAAATAAATGTCGCAGAGACCAAGCCGGGCCCCTCGAGAGAAACGCTTGCACGCAGCACACGTTTGCGAATGAGGGCGGCCTTTCGGTTTCACGCTTCACTGAGTGGGCGCAGTGCGCATGGCGGCACCGCGCCCATTCCGGCACACCCCTGAGAAGGATCGTGGCGACATAGAAGAGTCAGGACGCTGAACTACGGAGCAGCTCGGGTTCGGACTGGGCACGTTGTTTCTTTGGGTTTCCCGTGATTCCTCGAGCCCTCCTCGCGCACCTGGGCGCTTTTGGGGCCAACAAGGGGCTTCGTTTCGTATCTGGCGGCCCTTGCTTCAGGTCCCTCTGCGGTCTCCGTGGCCGCACACGCACGGCGGCACCGCGCCCACTTCGGCACACCCCTCATCCGTCGCCACTTTTGGCCCGAGCCCCTGGAAGCCCCCCGCGCAGCTCGGGGCGTGGCTCGCCGGCATCTGCGGCGCTGCGCTGCCGGCCGCGCTCGCCGCTATATGCCTGGGCGGCTGCCGGCTCGCCCGCCGGCTCGCTCCAGCCGCAGGCGCACGCGCCCGTCGACGGCCGCACCACGGCACCACGGCCCGGCACCACGGCCCCGGCGGGCGCGCGGCGGCGGCCGCCGCTTGGCGGAGACGCCGACGGCCGGGGCCCGCGCCGCCTCCCCCGGCCTGAGAGGGGCGGCCCGCGGCCCCTGAGCACCGCCCGGCGAAGGGCGCAGGCGCAGCGGCGCTCGCCGCGCCGCCGCCGCGGCGGCGCCGCGCGACCACGCCCCCCGTCCTCCGCCTCCTCCTCCTCCGCATCCTCCTCGCTCCTCGCCTCCTCCTCCTCCGCCTCCTCCTCCTCCTCCTCCTCCTCCTCCTCCTCCTCCGCCTCCTCCCGTCCGCGGCAGCCGCGGCCGGCCGCACCGAGGAGGACGACAGGGGCCCGCGCAGCCCGCCACGGAGCCGGCCGCAAGCGTGTGTCCGCCGCTGGGCGCTCGTGTCTCGCGTCTCGCTGATGCTGCCGAGCCTGACGGTAGCCGAAGGGGACGCTTGCGAGCTGGCTGCGGTCTTCCTCCCCAGACATGATGGCGTCGTAAAAAAATCAGGACGGGAGGTTTTTCGCTATTTTCGGCCCCTGGGGGCCCTCGCCGGGCCTCGGGAGCGTCCAAAAACGACTCGGGACGAAAAACCGGCCCCGGGAAAAGGGTCGGGACTTCCAGGGACGCCGTCCTGAAAAAATCAGGACGTCGCATGTCTGGGTCGTCATTGTCGGCACCGCCGCTTTGGGCCTGGTCGGCCGCCGACGCCGCGTCGTCAAGGACGTGGGCTCTTCTGGCGGGTCTGGGCTGACTGGCGGAGGCAGTGCGTTATCCTGGCGGAGGGCACTCTGGCTCCTAATGCTGGTCATGCTGCTCCTACAGCCCGGAACATCGCAGGCCTTACACTGTCACGGCGACATCCAGGCTGGCGAGGAGCGGCATGAGGCGCTGTCGGTCGATTCCGCGGTGGACGTCAAGTTGTCGACGTCGAGCGCTATGACAGCGGCAGCACAGGACAAGACCCCCTGCGACCCGGCGGAGATGCCGAAGTGGGCGAAGGACGCGTGCGACAAGAGCAAAACGTTGTGGTGCGGGTGGCGCTCATGAAAGGAGTTACCTGGGATGATTATGATCAGGGGGAAAAGAAACACACAGACACAATTAATCGGCGATTCCCAGAAAATATGGGAAAATATGGGAAGTGGGGGGGAAGACAGAAACCCAGAAAATATAGGAAAATATGGGGAATATTTTTATTTGTGTGTATCTATTTGTGTGTCCTGGGGCCCCTTCAATCAAGCAATTCGGCAGAAGATGACGCTCCTGGCCGTCGTGACGACAGCGGCGGCCCACCCCGAGGCGGAGGTGCGCGCGGGCGCTGGCCGCGGGACCGCCGCCCGGGGCTGTCCCGACAGAGGCCCCGCCCGTGCTCGCGAGGCCGGCGCAGGACTTTGAGGCTGGAGGCCGGCGCGCGGCCTCCTCCTCCTCTTCCTCCTCCTCCTTCCTCCTCCTCCTCCTCCTCCTCCTCCCCCTCCTCCTCCTTCCTCCTCCTCCTCCTCCTCCTCCTCCTCCTCCTCCTCCTCCTCCTCCTTGAGGGCGTGGCCTGGGAAGCGCCGCCCTCTGTCGGATCGGCAGGACCCTGCCCAGCATCACGGCGCCGGCGTCGGACCCCGCGAAGGAGGTCCGCGCAGCGTGGGCGGCGGGAGGTGGTCTGGGAACCGCCGCAGGGTTGAGGGTTTAGGGTCTAGGATTTAGGGTTCAGGGTTGAGGGCGTTGCAGGCGGGCGGTGGCAGGCTTAGAGTTAGCAGTGCCACAAGCCTTCGAGATTTGAGCAGTGATGAGAGGGCGGGCTGCAAGTAGCGCGTCAGCACCCGCGGCCGCGCGCACACAACAGAAAAAAAAGCTAGAACCTTCGGCACACCCCTCACGAGGACCGTGGCCCCGCAGGGAACTCCGCCTGTGGCCGCCTTGGGCGCAGGCGCAGGGCGCCGCCGCGCCCGTGTCAGCACACCCCTCGCGAGGACCGTGGCCCCATGCACGGGGCGCCGCCTACGGCTTCAGTGGGCGCATAGGCACGGCGCGGCCGCGCCCACGTCGGCACACGCGTCACGAGGACCGCGGCACCGCAGGGAATTCCACCCGTGGGCGCAGTGGGCGCGGGCGCATGGCGGCACCACCGCGGCGACTTCGGCACACCCCGGAGGAGGACCGTGGCTCCACAGGGAACTCCACCTCAGGTCGCAGTGGGTGCAGACGCATGGCGGCGCCGCGCACATGTCGGCACGCCCCTCGCGAGGGCCGCAGCCTCACTCCACTCGTGGTCCCAGCGGGTGCAGGCGCGTGGCGGCGCTGCGTCCATTTTGGCACACCCCTCACGAAGATCGTGGCCCCATGGGGACCTCCACATGTGGTCGCAGTGAGCACAGGCGCATGGCGGCACCGCGCCCAGGCGCACCGAGGCACTGCGCCAATTTCGGCACACCCCTCAGGATCGTGGCCTTGCAAGGGGCTCACTAACGTGCCCGTGTCGGCACGCCCCTCAGGAGGGCCGGAGCCCTGTAGGGAGCTCCACATATGGTCGCTGTGGGCACAGACGCATGTTGGCACCGCGCCAATTTCGGCGCACCCCTCACAAGGATTGTGGCTCTACACAAAGCTTCACTTGCGGCCTCGGCGTGCGCAAACCGCGTGGGCACCGCGCCCCTTTGGGCACACCCCTCACACGCCTTGTGACCCTGTAGGGAGGTCCACCTGCGGCCCCAGTGGGCACAGACGCATTGCGCCCAGCTCGGCACACCCCTCACGAGGACCGTGGCCCCGCACGG